TTCTGTTCGGTTTTTGGCAACATGTTGCCATTTTCTGATTTTTAATATTTGTAAGTCGGTTTCTACTCCATCTAACCACCTAATTCGCGGTCGGCCTTTGCTTCTTTTTCCTACAGGTGTTCCTGTGGTGGTTAGCTTTTTAGCAATGGTATTTTCTGGCATTCGTATTATGTGTCCAGCCCATCTAAGTCGCTGTATTTTAATGAACGTTATGACATCTGGCTCATCAAAGAGCTGATACAATTCAAAATTATATCTTCTGCGCCACTGCCCTTGGTCGTTTACAGCTCCAAATATTTTGCGGAGTATTTTACGGTCAAATATTCCCAAAAGTCTTTCATCTTTCTGCGTTAGAGTCCATGTTTCTGCTCCATATGTGAGGACCGGCCTCAGCAATGTTTTGTATATAATAATTTTAGTTTTTCTTTGAATGTTTCTTGAGTGGAAATGCTTTTGGAGTCCATAGTATGCCCTATTTGTAAGATTTTTTATTTTACCATACTCATATGATTTCGGAAAAGCACGCACGTACCGCCCTGGAACCTTCTACCGACCGGTGCTACAGCCCCGAAAATACCTCTGGTTAAACCGGCACTGTTTGAACATATCTAGCAAATCTCTCGCACGGTACGCGTACAGATCGTTGAAAATATATCTACATCGTACGGATCGCAAACTTCTCTCGAGCCATGGAAAGCGATAAAACCAACAACGAGCACACATGTGCGAAATGATTCATTTTATTTATAATTTGGGTACTGATTTATCGTGTTTCTGTTTCTTATCTCTAGGGACACGTCATATTCATTTGATTTGTAATTATGGTATTGATTACGTCACGTTTCTAGCTTCATGTTCATTCAACAAAATATTTCATTTTCCGTTAATACCATCTTTGCAAGTGTGTTGTGTATTTTTGGATTGCAAGTGCAACTTTACTTATTACTGCTTTATCGAATAAAAGGAAGAAAAAATAACGACGGTGTTGGCAGAGCGAGTTGTATAAAAAAGTACTATACTATGTAATAGAGTCCCTAGTATAGGCTAGATAAATTAAAAATTTCAAAAACCTATACTGACTCAAAAAAAAAACAATTTGTTAGATTTGTTACAACCGACAAAAGTCTCCTCTACACACATAAATAAGTCACCTTCAAAAATGTAAATCAAGACATTATTTGCTTGTTTAACAAAAATAAAAATATGTAGAATAATCAGTTTACTATTTTCTCACGTCTTTCTGGGAAGGAACACTTCATTCACACAATGTCGATTTGATGAGACAATAAAAATGTTCGCTGCATTTATTAGTAGCGCCGTCCAAACTGAACGGCGAGCTTCTTTGGAAGCCGTGGAATCATCATCACACAGCCAAATTTGTCCACTGTCGAACATAGGCCTCCTCAAGATGTCTCCACTCTTCTCTGTCCTGTGCAGCTGCGATCCAGTTTGTCACTATTCTTTTAATGTCGTCCGTCCATCTGGTAGGTGGTCTTCCACGATTTCGCTTGTCTGCCCTTGGCCGCCATTCTAAAATCTTCTTTGTCCATCTGTTGTCTCTCTGTCTTGCGACGTGTCCTGACCATTTCCACTTCAACTTCGTAATCCGTTTTATGACGTCTTCCACTCCAGTTCTTCGACGTATCTCATCATTTCGTATTCGGTCTCTCAAAGTTACGCCAAGCATAGATCTTTCCATTTTTCGTTGTGCTACTTGTAACTTTTTTATTGATGCTTTAGTCAATGTCAGTGTTTCAGCTCCATAAGTGAGCACCGGAAGTACGCACTGGTTAAATGCTTTTCTCTTTAGCTTTATTGGGATGTTTTCCTTAAACACGTCTTTTAGCTTGCCATAGGCTGCCCATCCTAAAGCTATTCTTCTAGATAATTCGCATGTTTGGTTGTCTCTACTTATTTGTATTTCGTGGCCCAGATATATGTATTTGTCAACCGTTTCAATATGCCAGTTTTCTAGTTTCAATGGTCCACTAGGTACTAAGTTGGTCATCATTTTAGTTTTCGCAAAGTTTATTTCCAGCCCTACTTTTTGGGAGACTCGTTGTAAATCTTGTAGCATTTCGTTGGCCTCCTTTAAGTCGTCGGTTATTAGAACTATGTCATCTGCAAATCGTAGGTGGTTCAGCCTTTCGCCATCGACACTCAAACCTCTGTTTTCCCATTCTAACATCTGGAATGCATGCTGCATTACGGCATTGAATAGTTTTGGTGACATGTTGTCTCCTTGTCTAACTCCCCTTTTTAGTTTTATTTTTTGAGTAGGGGTGTGGAGGTTTATTGCTGTTGTGGCATTTGCATATATATGTTGAATAATGCTGGTATATCGGTAGTCGATTCTACAATCTCTCAAAGCTCTTAAGATAGCTACCATCTCGATAGTGTCAAAGGCTTTTTTATAGTCAACAAATACTAGAACTAGTGGCCGGTTGTACTCTATAGTTTTTTCAATTAGGGCCTTTAGACAAGTTAGATGGTCATTTGTACCATACCCAGGGCGGAAACCTGCCTGTTCTCTTGGTTGGCATGTTTCTAGTTTGTTCTCAATTCTGGCAGTGATAATTCGAGCAAATAATTTATACAGGTGACTTAGAAGACTGATTGGCCTATAGTTTTCGAGGTCTGTTTGATCTCCTTTCTTATGCATGAGGAGCGTTATAGAATTATTCCATTCAGCTGGTATTGCTTGGTTTTCTAAGCATATATTGAAGAGCTGCTTGATTGTCCTGATGAGAGCAGAGCTCCGATTTTTAGCGCATCCGCCACTACTCCATCTTCTCCTGGTGCTTTGTTTTTTTTTTTCATTTTCTTTAGAGCATGGTAAATTTCAGCCGTTGATATGTCGGGAATATCTTCTGAACCTTGATTCATAATTTTTTGTTCTGTATGTTCTGTCGGGTTTAAGTCCAATTTATTTGTGTATAGTGTTTTATAGAAGTCTTCTACTATCTCTAGCATTTCGTCTCTGTTGGACGTTAGTTTGCCATTCTTTCCCTTAAGTCTGATGATTTCTTTTCTGCTGTTCGTCAATTTCCTTCTTAATATCTTCATGCTCTTGTTGTGCTCGATTGTCTGCGAGATTTTCTCATTTTTATATGCCCTTATGTCCTTTCTAATTGCTTTTGAGACCTTTGTTGATTTTATTTATGCTTTGTTGTTCTATACTCTTATCTTTTAGCATTTCTCTTCTTTCTTCCATTTTAAGTTTGGTGTTAGCAGTGATTCTCTCCTCTCCCTTGTTACCTGTACAACATTTTCTTTGAGCTTCTGCTATGGTATTAGTAATTACTTTATTTAGCTGATTTATATCATTTGTGGGGGGCCTGTTTTGTAGACGTACCGTTATTTGATCTGCAAACTCTGTTTCATTTTTTGGTTGTGACCATGCTTTCAATTTTTTCTTTCTTATTAGTTTATTTCTCTCTTTATCGATGTTAATTTCTATTCTAGCGCGAACCATTCTGTGATCACTTCCTGTTGTGAAGCTGTTGAGTACAGTGACATCTTTAACTATAAATTTTTATCTGTTATTATATAGTCAATTTCATTTTGCGTTCTCCCGTCCGGGCTTCTCCATGTCCACCTTCTATGTTGTTTTTTGTAAAAGAAGCTATTCATTTGATATAATTTGTTCTGAAGGAGATAGTTTAATAAAGTTTGTCCGCGTTCATTTCTTCCATCGCTGCCGAAGTTTCCAAGTACAAATTCTGATGGATCGGATTTCATGCCAATTTTTGCGTTCATATCACCACATATGATTGTAAAATGGGTGTGATTTTCTTTCAGTGCTTGTGTTATTTCGTCATAGAAAATGTCTATTTCCTCTTCGCTATGGTCTGTGGTTGGCGCATAAGTCTGTATTATTTTGATGTTATATCTGTCGTTCAACTTTAGAATGACGTATATTACTCTCGTGGATATACCATGTATTGTATGGATTCTACTGTACAGCTGTTTATTTATGAGGAAACCTACACCTCCCACTGATTTGTTCTCTTCACCGAAGTGGTAGAATATATGGCCAGATTTTAATGTCTGTAGGTGTTCGCCATGTCTTCTTACCTCGCAGAGCCCAATTACGTCCCAGCTGATCTTTTCCATCTCCAGCTCCATTTCAGTGATCTTGGCTTCTGACAGTAGCGTTCGAGCATTGTACGTTGCGACATTCATCTTAAATAATTTATGAGTCAAGGTTTTGTCCCCCCCAGAATCCTTGGGACAGACTGATAAATCAGTGTGAGATTCTGGGTTCATTTTACTCACCTGGGGTAATAAAGTTTTAAGTCTTGACATTATTTGAGGGGATATGGCAAATAAATCACCACGCTTGCCATGCGGGTTGGTGAGTGAAGAGTGTGTAGTAGAAAGAAATATAGTGACCCGTCTGCCTTCGGAAACCTAATCGCCATTCGGGGTCGGAAGAAACAAGAGTTAGCCAAGAGAGGCTGATAGGAAAGATTAAAGACATTTTACTCAAGACAAGTTGAAAAAGAGTAAAATAAAAAAGCCGTGGAATAAACCGCAATAATTTGGTTCGCGACGAGTCACGATCAAACAGTACGCAAGCGGTTTTGTCCGCCGTACACATTGACGAATATTGCGTTCGCATACCATATGCATCCGTTTGGCTCGTACGTATATGTGTACCGAGCTTTAAATTTAAAAATTGCACAAGTTGAACAACTATACACCAATGAAAGATTTTTGAACAACTAAACAGCCATATTCAATTGATTTCAATTCTGCGAACTTAGTACCATTAATTGACCTGTCGGCACCCAGTGGCGGTGCTTACAAGTGTTTCTGCATTTTGGGAGTTTAGTTACAGTAGATAAATTGCATAAACTTAAAATTATTGAAAAATCCCAGGTTACCTCTTTTGAATGAGGCGCAGTGTCTTTATTCGCACATAATTTTTTTCTTTGCTGAACAAATAACTGCTGAACCATCGTTGTGTTTACATGTAATATCAAAAAAACCTTTTTAAATAATCTGATTTTATTTAAATTCTAATAACAATTCAATAATGATGAATCTATTTTCAAATAAAGATTAGAAAAATAAATTAATAATTACCAAAATTTACAAAGGGTTACAAAAATATAAACAATACGTAACTTGAAGTGTAAAATGCAAATGCAAAAAAGAGGAACAGAAAATATCTGTATTTTTACAGTTTATGGGCTGCTCTTTTTCTTTGGAAAATAGAGTCGATGTTAGCGAATATGGCATCGGCTGCCTGTGCTGCATCTACATGGTGATGAATATGTCTTATTTGGTAGTAATCGACAAGAGGCTTGGTTTGGGTGTGATAAGTAGCTAAACGCTTTTTAAGAGCCTCGATATTGTCATCCGATCGTCTGATTAACGGTTCACCAGTAACATCATCGGTCATTGGCTTCTTAGGAGGTTTGAACTCCTCATGATATGATCTTCCACTGGCAGAGTGGATCAGACGACCAGTAATTCTTCTGAAGAGAAGACTATCATCAATCCTGAATTCAATTACCGCATCAAGTTGAGTGTTGCGCTTTTCAAGCAAGTCGTCCAACTGAAAAAGAATAATATAATTAATATTGTTTATGTGAAAAATATGAAATTTTAATTTGAAAATCACAATGCTTTAATAAAAATCTTTAAAATAATTTATTCATTCTATGTACGATAGGTCACATATGTAGGTTCTTGACTCCCTGGAGCCAACCAGCAACCTCGATTCGAAAAAGAAGAAAAATGCCGATGACAATAATGACAACCAAGCAAATGTCACTGAAAATGTAAATAATAACATCATATTACAATTAAGACTTAGAATATGAAAAATATGAAATTGAATCTAATGAAATGTTTTTAGCAAAATATAGTGGAATATATAGTAATCATACCTATGTATATACAGATGATATATTGATCCACAAACAAACCAAACCAGATTTGGAATTTATATACCACAGATTAATTATAAATTTTCATCAAGACTCCATAATTACACACAAATATGTACAACTGAAATTATAGCTACATATAAAGCTATCTCTGTGTGCATTGAGAAGGAGATCATGAAAGCAGTTATCTTTGTGGATTCAAAAAGTGCTTTATCCAAAATTTCCAGTCTCAAATGGATTATGTAACCATAATGACCAATAAAATATTGGTAGAAGCTAATAATATGGGATTCTCAATAGGAATAGAATGGGTACCTGGACATCAAGGGATTAAAGGTAATGACGTACCCGATAGGTTGGCGAATATTGAAATAAAGATGCAAACTATTGCAGATTGCAGTATGATTTCCCCATAAAACCATGGTATGGCAAATGTGGGTATATGGACAGAAACACTATAACAAATATTAATCGTTTGCGTAGTGGACATTATAAAACTCCTTGCTATCTCTACAAAATAGGTAAAACAGAAACACCGATATGTGAATGCGGAACCATTGCAACATTGATCAATATCTTCTTTGAAGGTCCTATAAACAAACACAAAAATATGGATCTGAATTTAGAACTATTAAAAGCAGGAATAGAGTCCAATATCTTTTCATAGTACTCTATATAAACTCTCCGACAAGGTTATAAAAATAATTAATAAATTTATCAAATTCTTTCAAATAGATCTATAAAAAAATGTTTTATTACTTGTCAAAACTAAAAAAAATAAATCTAGAAAATACTGGAAATATCATAGCTTAAAAAATTTATGTCCTTAAAATCCTTAAGGTAGCGTTACTCATTAGGGATGTGTAGTTCACATGAACATATCATCGAAATAGTTCAAATGAACGATTCTTTCAACTGAACTAATTGAACTATTTCATTAATTTTCATAGAACTAGTTCACTGCGAACGATTTGCATTATAAATTGTGTCTCAACTTCTAAAGAAAAAAATAATGAATAAATGAGATCATATATTTATTATTTTGTGAATGGGATGGACTGACTAATTTAAAATGCCGATTAGCCTCAGATAACATGTAATAATTCTTATGAATGTGACAATAACATACAGTGTTATCTTAATGTCATAATGGTTCGGATCTTATGCCCATGTATTGGCTTGGACGTTGCCATGCTGTGTTGTGTCTTGTATTCTAATTTTGAAATAAAAATTTTTAGTTGTGGTTAAAATGATTGATGCATTTACATAAAATATAATTTTATGTAAAAGTGAGAATGAAAATGTGTTATTTAATGTTTCTAGAAAATTAACTGATTTTTTTGTAAAGGCTCTTTTAGAAATAACCTAATTATAGATACCTTAGTTTAAATATAGGTACGTAAATATAAAAATAAATCGTACGTGAACCATATTATAGTCTAAAAGAACTAATAAGCACACCTCTATTACTCATAAACATAATCTGAGAATGTTTGGAAGCTACCCCAAACGAGAAAAGTCTAAGTGCGAGCGCCCACCAAAGTGACATGGCACGTGGCAAGTAGCACGCATTTAGCATGTTACTTAAAATGTAACCAATGAAAACGAATGATTCAGCGCACACCAAAATGACAGCGACGCCATTCGATCTAATTACTCCTTTGCATTGGTTACATTTTATGTAACATGCTAGACGCGTGCTACTTGCTACTTGACACGTGCCACGTCACTTTGGTGAGCGCTTCCCCTATTAAACGTATGTAACACTTTCTCCTCCTCGATTATAGAAAGAAGATAAACAAATGGAAAGGTTCATTATCATCCAGCTGTCAATTAGCAGTAAACAGAATAGAAATTTATCCCTGGTTGTGCATTCTAGGCAATGCAAGACGAGCGTAACCTTACATGTACTGGGTAAATGATTATATAATCGAAACAAAAAAAAACGAAGAAGAATGTAAATAATAACAATGTTCTTATTCCTATTCAAAAAGAATATAAGGACGAATGGACAACAGTTGCAAGAAAGGGTTTAAAAACAGTCGAGAAACTTTCAAGAAAATCGAGAATGAAAGAACTCAACGACTGTTTGGAACTAACAAAAATCATGGCAATCTACAACTTAAACAGAGGAAGCAATGGATTTTTGTGTCTGGCCTGGCCCCAAAAACTGAAGCAAAGCATGTTCTAACGTTTTTGTGGACATACATGCAAAAAATGATTACCCTTTAAACTGAGTGTTGCCATGGAGAAAATTAACCAAATCATGAACACTGAGCTGTGGCATGAGGGATTAAGATTTAATTTTTTTCAGAATCTTCAATGCTGACTTAACAATGGGATTCCACCTACAAAGTGAACTGCTCAGGTATCCTAAAAAACTTTCAAAAGGAGAAGGTACTGCTATATATGTAAAAAGCTATATTTCTTTTAATGTTCTCTGGTAATGACTCATTTTTAATTGATTTTTGTAATGAATATTGTTGTGGATGTCTTAAAGATTTTAATCTGATTGTGATAGTTATACACCACAGCCTCTCTGGCCATTTTGACACCTTTTTAGAATCCATCGAAGGAGTACTAAGCACGCTTAACCTAGCCAAGCCAATCCTTGTTGTTGGGGATTTTAATGTTGACTTTCTCACTGAAAATACACCGGCCTGTAAGCTCCAAAATGTTGTTTGGGAGTTTTAATCTGTTTAAAACTATAGATACACCAACTAGAGGCAATAAATGCATTTGTGACGCTCCGTTCCACTGAGGTGATCAATGTGGGGTTTTCGGATAACAAGGACACATTGTTAGGTTTGTAACTCAGAAAAGGACTATAGGTTACAACGAACACCCAAGGCTTATTCGACCTATTACTGAAAAAGGTAAACATTTATTTTATAATTGGTTGTCTGGGATGGTGACACCTCTATACATTTTAAGTTTAATAATTTATAATAATTAATAATAAAGTCTATAAAGTAAGATCAGACCAAGCTGATCAAATTATATGGTTCTCGAACAAACTAAGAGCAATGAGAGAATGTGTTGGGGATACCCAATAAATTGGTTAAACTTATACGAATGATTCTGGAGGGTTCCAAAGCCATGGTGAGAATAGATGGATATATGACGCAGGCCTTTGATATTGAAAATGGAGTTAGACAAGGTGATGCCTTATCAACAACACTTTTTAATCTAACTTTAGAAGCTGTTGTTAGAAAACTGGATATAAACGGCTGTATTAATACAAAATCAATGCAAATATGCGGATGATGTTGCCATAATAAGCCGTAACAAAAGCGTATTAAGCGAAAAATTTATGGAACTGAAACGAGAAGCTGCTACGTTTGGTATATATATAAATGAAAGCAAAACAAAATATATGGAATGCACAAAATCGAATCAACATAGACAACCATACCTACAAAAATGCCTCCACTTTTCCCTACCTAGGCTCAATAATAAATGGCAAGAAAACATCAGTCACAAAATACAAGCACGGATTCTTAGCCGTAATAAGTGCTTTTATGCATACAAAGACTTAATGAAAAGTAAGTTGCTGAATCGTGAGTCTAAGCTTAGAATCTAAAAACAGTAATTAGACCAGTGGTCACATATGGATGTGAAACGTGGACCCTCTCAACCACTGATGAAAATCAACTGAAAATATTTGAGCACAAAATACTAAGGAATACATTTGGACCAACCCAATGCAGCGATGGTTCGTGGAGAATTAAAATAAACCACGAGTTGGATGAACTAACCCAGAGCGCAGATATTGTTAGATTTGTAAAGTCACAAAGACTAAACTGGCTTGGTCAGCTAGAAAGAATACCAGATAATCGAGCTGTAAAAGTAGTCCAGAGATGGAAGCTCCAAGGAAACAGAACGACATAGAGAGGGATCTTAAACGATGACCATCAGACAGTGGCGAACGAAAGTAACCGACAGGTCAGAATGGAAGGACATTGTTAAGCAGGCCAAGACTCACAAAGGGTTGTAGCGCACTAGAGTTTAGAGCCTGACCCACTATTCTGTGCAGACTTGCGCAGTTCATGTGTATCCATTTCCGAATGTGTCAATGAGGTTTATGTGTATTGTTGGTTGCGAACATTTTTTTTATAAATTAATAATATAATTTAATTATAATACTTCAATCCATCTATTTAAACCGTTTGAGGCCCTAAAAGGTGAGAATTACTTATCATGGAAGTTTCGGATGGAAATAATATTGGCAGAAAATGAAGTATTAGAGTGTGTAAAAGGCAAAACAATAACAACAGGTTTAAGCGAGAACGAGATGGAAAAATTCCAAAAAATGAACAATAAAGCCAAATCAATAATGCACAATTAGATATTGAGATATTAGAGATATTGCGGGACAAAGAACAGGCGTACCATATGTGGAAAAGTTTAGAAGCAAAATATGAGAAAAAGGGGCTACCAGGACAACTGTTCCTAAAAAGAAAGTTGCTGCCCATGAAATTGAAAGAGGGTGAGTCATTGGAACGATTTATTGGTGAATTTGAGGAAATCCTGAGACAGTTAAGAGCCACTGGGGTAAAAATTGAAGATAATATATAATATGTAATTTGCTGTTAACTTTGCCAAAATCCTGGTGCCAAATGAAACAGTGGTAGCAGTTATCGAAAATTTACCGTCTGGTGTACTATGTATTATATCATATGAAGAGGTAAAGAAAAGGTGGTACTAGTGTAATAAGCCGGAACCATGTTCGCAACTGACAATACACATGAACATCATTGACACATTCAGTATGAACTGCGCAAGTCTGCACAGAATAGTGGGTCAGGCTCTAGACACTAGTACTAGTTTGTAGCGCCATTAGAAGAAGAGGTGTCAATTTTTGAAGTGAATATTTATGTAAAAATTTACAAGTGGTTAGTTAGGTTATGTTATTTGTGAAAATATTTACTATTTTTTTATAATTCTAATTAAATAAACTAATGGCTTCAATCAAAAAGAAAACAACCAGGAAACAATTATTGGAAGTAATGTTAGACTGTATAAAAATAAATAGTACTTACTGGCAAAATAGCCAAGGAAGGCTAAGAAAGTGGTCCACTTTTGACAGGAATTTGCTATCGGGGTAAATGCAGTATATGGTAGCCCTAACAAAACAGGGGCACAATGGAGACATGTAAGAAAATTAATTTCTGTTACTATCAAATTTAATAAATGCTAAATTTTAGGTGTTCAATGGGAGGAAGATTTTGCAACTCTTTCCAAAGATTGATCATGGGGAGCCCCAGATTATAAATACATCTAATTTTAAAGGATGTATTTTGTTTATTATGGTGTATAATATTTTTCAGAAGGAAAAGGAAATCAATCTGTGAAAATTAAAAGGCAATAGCTTTATTTAACATTCTATAAACATATCCTTTATAGTATTATATCTCAATTATGGAATAAACTGAATATAAACATTTTTATTTAACAATTTTATAACTCAAAGTTTGTAGCAAAACATTTCTAAGGGCTTTGAAAATTTTTGAGCCACTTTGTAATATGTTTCAGATTTTTTATTTTGTCTCGATCTTTGTGTCATTCTTTTTGATTTTGTAACTAATTGTAACATACATACATGTTGCATTTCCTACATATCATTATGAAATATACTAATTATCAACACTTTTATTTAACAATTTGTTTTAATTTTATAACACGAAGTTTGCAGCAATAATACTTCTTCATATTCTCTAAGGGTTATGAGAACATTTGGACCATTTTGTAATATATTTTAGTTTTTTTACCATTATCATTAGTCAACATCAATGCAACACATAAGTATATAATGTTTCCATGTTTAACAGGGCTGTAATGTAAAACTCTGTGCTTGTGCAAATAATTCTTTAGGACAATCCTCCATTCACCCCTGTATTTACCAACTTCTCTACGTTCTAACGACAATAGATTTTAAGTCATCCTATAAGTTGTCTTGATACCTAAGTCTTGGTCTTCTTCTGGTTTATTGTCCCATCAGCCCTGTTCTGTTAAAAACCTTTCTGACTGTTGTCCCTACCACTTACCTAATGAAATGCTCTATCCATGTAAGGCATGCTACCTTAATGTCAGGTTCCACAAATGTTCTACACGACTGAAAGTTGTAATGTCTGTGCTACAAACCTTGTCCTTTCTAGTGGTATATTTTAGGTGTATTTGTAGGTTTACTTTGTAGTATATTTTAGGTTTGTTTTAATTTTTGAAATTGTATTCTTTACTATGTTTTAATTTTCCAAGGGTTTTGACAAATTTTGGACTACTTTGTAATATATTTTAAATTTGTTTGTTTTGATCTTTTTGCAATTAATTGTAACATTTAGTTTTTATGTTTTTAAACCTTCTTATTTAACTATTTTATAACACAAAGTTTGTAGTGAGGTATATAAAATAAACTGAGTATAAACATTTTTATTTAAATATTTTATAACATAACATTTGCAGAGATAACATTTCTTTATATTCTCTCAAAACCTTTGTGCCAGGCTGTAATATATTTTTATTTTGTTAGTGTTGTGTCATTTTTGTAATTAATTGTAACATACATGATTTATGTTTTTGTTTTTAACGATATATAAACATTTTTAATTTAAAATGTTATGATCTGCAGTTTGCAGCAATATGATATCTTCATAATAATAATATTATTATTTAAAGATTTTAAAAATTTTTGAGCCACTTACTAATATGTTTTAGATTGTTCGTTTTGAACTTTTTGTAATTAATTTTTGATTTTGTAATTCATTGTAATATTAATATTTATATCACTAAACTATATGAGATTATAAAACTCCATCATATATATTATAAAATGATGAAACATCACTAAATTGTAAAATTATACAGTAGACACCCTCTATAACGAGAACTGAAATGGCAGACTAATTACCCCGATATAAGCTGATCTCGTTATATTAAACAACAATAATACTGTGCATACATATGAATATGTGGTTTTCTAAAATATTAACTTCCTATAGTGAAGCCATTCGAAGCAATATAAGATGATAAATATCGTTTGAATGGCGTTTTTGAAAAAAAAAATTGTTTACTTTTATTGTGAATGATATATGTTAAAAAAAATCTGTATTCTGTAAATCTGTATAATTGGTATTTTCAAGTATAACATAAACTATTGCTTCTGCAATTGGAATAAGTCTGCTTTAAATTGTTCAGTATTCTATCTATCATATCCTCTAAAGATATGAAACAGTTTTATGCTTCTCCATTTGCGTTTTGTCTTTGGATATAGTTTCTTCTTCTTCTTCTTCACGTGCCATCTCCTCTAAGAAGGTTGGCAACCATCATGGCAATTCGCACTTTCGACGCCGCTGCTCTAAAGAGGTCAGCAGATGTGCAGTTAAACCACGCTCTCAAATTATTCAACCAGGAGATGCGTCTTCTTCCGCAACTCCTTATACCCCGTATTCTTCCTTGCATTATTAATTGCAATAAGTTATAACGCTCGCCCCTCATAACATGTCCCAGATATCTCTCTTAGAGAGTCATCCCAGATGACTCTCTAATTATGATGTTATTATTATTATTGAAACATGGCTTACACCTAGAATCTTAGATGCTGAATTGGGATTGAGTGACTTTAATATGTATAGACATGACAGGGACCTTCAAACTAGTTCAAAGACTCGTGGTGGTGGTGTTCTTATTGCTGTCCATAAGCGCTTTAATTCAATGTTGGTTAGGCCTATCGATTCCTCTGTGGAACATGTTTTTACACAGGTTATGTGTGGCACAAAAAAGTTAATCATTGGTGCAGTTTACTTTCCTCCACTGTCATCTGGGTCGGTATATGAGGAGCATTCCACCTGTATGTTAGACTTAGCGGAAAGATTCAGTGATTGTGAATTCTGTATTTGTGGTGACTACAACCTACCTGAAGCGTCCTGGGATAATCTTAGTAATGGTGTTACGGTTGAGTGTCCTCATCACTCTCCAGCAAATATTATTTGTACTTGCTACAATTTTCAAAATATGTCACAAGTAAATGCTTTGCCTAACCTTAATAATAAATTTTTAGATCTAGTTTTCTGTACTCAGAGAGATGCAGTTGTGTCGATTTCAACTGATATTCTATTGAATACTTCGCAACATCATTCAGCTTATACTATAGTGTTACATGAAGCCAATTTAAATTTGTTTCTTAAATATGATGTCTTCTATCATGATTTTAAAAAATGTAATTATCAAGTTTTAAATGAATATTTAGCCTCAATTCCTTGGAACAATGTATTAGATGAATCTGACATAAATTGCTGCTTAGAAAATTTTTACCATATTTTATATGATGCCATCAATATGTTTGTTCCTATCAAACGGTTTAAATCATTAAACTCTCCAGTTTGGTTTTCGCGAGAACTAATTGAGCTTGTCATACAGAAAAAAATAGCTCACAAGAATTTTAAAGCATCAGGCAGCTCATATGAGGAATTTTCGGTGTTAAGGGAAAGATGTAAAGCATTACAAGCAATATGTTATAAGAACTATTTAGAGAATATTCAAGCAAATCTTTCAAGTAATCCCCACTCTTTTTGGAGGTATGTTAGTACTACACATGGGTCTAGTGCTTATCCTAATGTAATGTCTAATAAAGATGGAGATGTAATAGCTCAGAATGGTGATGAAATAGTCAATTTATTTGCCAGCTATTTTTCAGGTACATATAATGATAGTGAGTGTAATGTACCTAATTTTAAATTGGATTATAATGTGGATTTCCAGAGTCTGAAGTTTAGTCTGACTGATGTTTTCGAGGGAATTAGTAGTTTAAAAACTACATATTCTTCAGGGCCTGATGGTATACCTGCAGCACTTATTAAGAACTGTATTTTTTCCCTTTGTAAACCTTTACAACAAATTTACAATTTATCATTGTCATCATCTGTATTTCCACAATATTGGAAAAATAGTTTTCTTACACCTATCTATAAATCTGGCAATCGCGAGTGTGTTAACAATTATAGAGGTATAACTATTCAATCAGCAATACCGAAACTTCTTGATAAATTGGTATCGATAAATCTCACCTGGGCTTGCAGAAACATAATTATTGATGAACAACATGGTTTTTCTAACGGGAAATAAACTGCAACAAACCTTCTCAACTACCAACAATACTTGTTGGGTGCATTTGAGAATAAAATTCAGGTTGACAGCGTTTACACTGATTTCTCAAAGGCCTTTGACCAGGTTAATCATAATCTTTTGGTCCACAAACTTCATGCATCTGGCTTTGGTGACCCCATTGTTAATTGGATAAAAAGTTTTCTGATGGGACATACACAGCAAGTTCGTATTAACAATTATATTTCAAATGAATTTCATTGTTATTCTGGTGTACCACAAGGGTCTCATTGTTGTCCCTTGTTTTTCAACTTGTTCATCAACGATATTGGTAAGGCTATCAAAAACTCACACTTCCTGCTATTTGCTGATGACCTTAATATTTCGTTGTATACATAATAAATCGGATAGAGATCTCCTGCAAGATTATGTAAACAACATATGTTTATGGTCAAAACAAAATGGTTTAAGCTTAAATCCAACTAAATGCTCTTGTATTTCATTTGGTCATATAAATAATCTAATGGCTAACAGATATATTCTTAATGATGTACTCTTGGATTCAGTTACTGAGATTAGAGATTTGGGTGTATTACTGGATTGTGCATTGACATTTAGAAGCCATTTTCTTAAAATTAAGGAGACAGGATTTCGTAATCTTGGTTTTATTTATCGCAACAGTCATGATCTCTCACCTATTGTATTTAAATTATTGTATTGCTCTCTGGTACGCTCAGATCTTGAATACTGCTCTGTTGTCTGGTCCCCGTTTCATCAAGTATACATTGATGGAGTGGAGAGTAAAAAATACTGAAAATTATTTCATAGATTATTCTATAATAATCTCTCATTTTAACATTGCTACACTGAAGAACCGCAGGTTGAGAGATGATATGTTATTTTTGTTTAAAATTCTAAACAATGTTATTAATTGTCCTTCGTTATTGGCCAATTTACACTTAAACACAATGCATAGAACTCGACACACTGCACTCTTTTATATTCCTTTTCATAGAACTGATTATGCTCGTCATTTTCCCTTGTCAAGAATGCTCAGCTCTTGCAATGACCTCCTATTGGATCCTTTCTGCCCAAACAATAATGCTTTTAAAAGTCAACTTAAGAATCTAACTATTGATATAGATATGTGATACTTACTATGTGATACTGATACTTTTTTAAAATTTTTGTGATATGATATATTGTTTTAATGTACAAATTTTAACAGTTTATTTGTTATTTTTTTATGTTTATTGTACATGATCTTTACTTTTTACTATTTGTTGTATTTTATTGTAAATGGTTCTACCGTTGGAATGAATAAATAAATAAATAAATAAAATTTCATTGGTCATCCATTCATTTTTGTTCTTGATCATCTTAGGTGTTAGTGTTGTCTCACACGTGCGTATAAGAGCATCTTTTAATATATGCCATTTCTTGTTTGCATCTTCAGTAGGAATAATTTCTATTTTGGTGAGTTCTTCTTTAATTTTTAGTGTGACTTGCTCTTTTGTTGATGGATCTTTCAAACGGGATACTTGTATACTCTCTACTTTAATTTTAGCCACAAACTTTTTTAGATTAATTCTAAACCTTCCTACAACTGGGTTGTGATCTGATCTCACATCAGCTCCGGGGTATGATTTTACTGATTTTATGGACATAGTTTCTGACAATGTTTAAAACATTTTCCACATCTTGTCTATTAGGACCTATATGATTAGGTGCAAATGGTCAACCCCCTACAACGACGCTTGTGAATCATAAATTGTAATTTTTCAATCTTATTTTCTCTCGTTATAACCAAATTTGCCTCGCTATAGAGGGTTATAGCTCAATAGAAATTTCACGGGATATCTAATGTACCTCGTTGTAAGCAAAACCTCGTAATAACTCTGTTCGTTATAGAGGGAGTATACTGTATTACTAAACTATAATTGATTATAAAACAATATCACTAGTTATTATTAGGAAATTATGAAATAAATAAATTATGAAAATATTAAACAAGTTTTTGTTTCATTACATAAAGTTTGCAGCAATAACACTTCTTCTTATTCACTGTCCTTCCAAAATCCAACCATTGTTTTGATTTGCCTCATTTGGAATCATTTCTATTGGAACTACAGGCTGTACTTCATCTTCTTCACCATTTTGGCACCAAGTCTTCCACCATCCATGCAGTTCTGTTAATACTTCACTAAATGTACTTTGTTCCAATGAAAATAAGAGGTTGTTACCAGTACATTTTTGGTAACTTCCATTTCCTACAAAATTAAGTAGGGATAGAACCTTTAATTCTATTGCAATTTTGTTAGCCCTTTGCCTTTCAGGAATTACAGGTCGCAAAGTATCTACAACATACCTAGGAATGTTTTTTGACACCATAAAATATTTTATGAAGAGCTAGAACTGGTTATCTATTTCAAATGGGTTACTGGTGACCTGTAACTGACATCAGTCTACACTTACATAATTTCTTTCGGACACATCATTCAATTCATTGAGTAATAACAAATTTACAGAAACCATTTTTTCAAAAACAAAACAAGCCATAAGTTAGGTTAATTTGAATTATCTGACAGATCTTCAGGATATGACACAATCATAAAAAATATTTTATGTAATTTTCTGCTGTGGCTTGGTCATTTTACGCATAGCAACACAGGGCATGATACATCATACCGTTTTTACACATTATGTTTTGAGAACTGTAATCTGATTACGTACTGTACATTTTCTAAATTTTACACTAGTATGTAATTGTAGTGAAAAAATAGAATATATTCTATTCTGTTATGAATGCTTACCTTTTCAGCTTGGACTACAGTTCTTGGGAAGCCATCAAGAAGGAAACCATTCTGACACTCTGGCTTATCCAAGTTCTTGTCAATCATGTTCACAACAAGATCATCATTAACTAGTTTGCCTTCATCTATTACTTGCTGAATTCTCTTCCCCAAGGATGATCCAGATTGTACTTCAGCTCTCAGCATATCTCCAGTTGAGAGATGACAGACACAGTATTTATCCTTAAGCAATGGAGCCTGTGAATAATTATATTTTTTAATTGTAATAGGTATACACAAATCATAACTAGTATCAATGTTTTACTAGAGGGTATATTGAAAGTGTAGATTATGGCACAACAAAAAACTAGTACAACCAATGATCTGTCACATTATAAATCAGCAATATTAAATGATAAAACAGAGAGAGATACTTACAACCAGATGATATTGGTGCAACAATTTTTAGTTCTCTTTCTATGACTACTACTATTACTACTAATGCTACTACTATTGTAAAGAATTGGATGGAAACGGAAGTCACAAAAAGCAATGTTATTGATAAATAATTTGATAGAAAGTAACCCATAAAATTTGTTAGATTCTAGTAATCGCGTGACTATCCTGGTAATTTTATTTCTAGAAAATTCATTTGGTAGTGTCATTAAAAGCTGTAAAAATTTTAATAAAATTGCAAAAAAAAGAACATATGTTTTTGAAATGAAGAAGAAAATAAATTGAAAAGACTTCTATAACAGATCATTTTCATAGTGGAATGGTTATCGCATGTAAGCATGTCATAATACTTTTACTAAAAAAGAAAATATTAAAATTCTATTATTTAATGCAAAATATTGAAATGCAGTCTACCTATCTGTTGGTTTTAAATGCAAATCTAATAATCCCTAAATATGTAAAAACTAACCTGTGTTCCTTTACCCGATCCTGGTGGACCCAGCAATACAGCTCTTATTCCTTCTTCTACTTCATTTATTTTTGGGACAACTTTTTCTGCTAAGGGTGCCATAGTTTCAACAATTGCTGGGACGATTAACCCTCTTAGGGCGGATAAATAATTTCTAAATTAAACGATAAAAAATTTAAATAATTTATAAAGATATGATAGATAATGTGTTATACAACTTGGCATGACCTTTGCTCATTTTCCACCAAATCAGGAGATAAGAGTGAATTTAGCAAACTTTTTAAGTTTAACCTCGAAATTTACTTATGTATTAAAAAAGAAGAGGCTCAAAGTGGCTGATTGCTCGTGAGGAATTCTTTATGCCTGCGTTACAATCAATCTCTTTTTGTTGTAGAGAGAGATAGTGGAAAGTTTCAATAAGTTAGAGAGAGACAGATAAATAGAGTGGTTCTAAGTCAAGAACTTTGTAAACAGTCGAATGTAATTTTCAAATTCTTGCCCCCTTATTTTTTGCACAAAAACAATATCACCCACTAGTCGGCTTCAATTCTGTCTTAATACGATCATGGGGATTTCGACCTCTAGCTAGGTTATTTACAATACTCGATGGTTATTTAATAGAACTCTGTGATATAATTATGACTTATGATCGTACCATGCATTCAAGATTTGTTCGTTTTTGCTTTTGTATCGTTCATGATCATAAACTGCACAGGACCGATTATTGTCATTCGTTCTTTGCAGTGGTATGATCATAGAACGTAGGAATATTCCAAAACTGTGTACCCATAAGACGTAAGACGTAAGTATATAACATAGACTGAGCTGTGACCTTTTTCCTTGTGTCTCTGTCTTACATCAAGTAAATCTAGCAGCGTCTCTTTCAGTGAGAGAAAGAGAGAAAAAAAGTGCAATGCGATAGACAGGGACATATTGAACAACATCAAGTGATCTTGTGTACTCGCCTATACGTCTATGAAAACCCTTACATATCTCTGATGAAAACCTTAAAGAGACTCTCTTTCCTTGTCTAAGATCACAAGCCCTGAACCGAACAGAACGCATCCAAACTATAAAAAAGAACAGAGTATAGTGGGCTATGTTCGTTGTTCGGTGATTGTACCAGAGAACCACGAAATTGTACTCTGCTCTCTCTGAAAAAAGAAGAATTTGAACTAACCCTAACCCAACCTCTAGCTCTGCTCCATAGAGAAATAAAAATAATTCTGCTCTAAATCAAATAAAGTGTTTCAAACATTTTTGAGAAGTGTACCGAGTCTGCAAGCCAATAAATGGAAAAAGAGAGAGAGAGATTGAGAAGTGTACTGCGCCATTTTTAACTTAAACTGGTACAACCGATAGAAAACTGGTACAATTTATGCAATATAAACAAGTTTTTAGTGGCCGAATGCCGAATTGATGAATATAGTGAAAGTTCAAAGGAGGTTTGAACAGTACCTACTTCCATACATGAAGTAAAATACTAATTATCATTTATGGATTTACCAGTGACTTCACACAGAAAGAAATCAAGATCCAAGTCTCACTCAGTGCAGGTATTTGGAGCAGAATCCTGTAGAAATTAAAGGATTTGATGAGAACTGTGGACTCATTATGGTAGAAATAGACGCAACACTTCTGCCGATCATATCCAGGTATGTTATTGTTACAAATATATATCCTGGGAATAAAGTAATATTCTTTTTAGAATGATTTTACTGGGATCGATTATTGTTTTGAATGGATGAACAGCTTATGCCAATTTCGATTTGCCTGGATTCTGGGGTGTATGAACGCAGGATTAGGATTGTTCATCAGCAGAGCTTTGTTGATCCTGATAATGGCAATGGTCATACAGACTATTGAAAGTTACCGGATACCACAAAAAAAGCTCTGAAGACAAGTGGAATTTCTAGGGAGTTATTTGAAATATATCTCGATGATTTTTTGTAGAGGAAACATACTAACAACAGTTACCAATTCAGTTAATTTTAAATTTGCTGAGCAGAACAGTTGGTAGTTTAATTAAATTTATATTAGTTTTATTATATTATTAAGGATACCTTAAGAAATACTGAAAAATTATTTTAAAAATCATTCTTAACTCCAGGGGTGGTCTCCTGGAAGACCACCAACTGTTTAGGTACTTAATGTGAGGGTAATGTTTGAAGAGATCAATAAAGGACCACTTTAATTTTAAAGACATTCTTTATTTTCTATAAAATGGTTCAAAACATGACAAACATAATCCTACATTACACCCCCAATTATCAATAAAACAAAGTTTATAGTTCACCTAGACCTAACAGTTTCAATAATTTGTGTGGCTTTTTAGCAACTAGACCTTTGTCAACACATCAGCCGGCATAACATCAGTAGGTATATATTTTACATTAATGATTGTGTCAGATATTATGTCTCTCAAAAAATGGTATCTACATCAATATGCTATTTTTCTTTTATGATAAATTGAATTTGCTGATAAGTTTAATGCACTCTGACCAGGCCATAATAATCTGCCGCACAGCTAGATAAAGCTACCATTCTCTGTTTTGTACTTTGCCAAGATATTGCAGAGCCATATCAGTATTTAGTTAGCCGCCGAAGTGATCGGTTGTGTTTTGTTTTGTTTGTGGCTAGCAATTACTCATATTGTTTGTATTAGTTTCGGTGTTTGGAGTACGGTGAGAAATTTTGTTATTTGCTGACAAGTGTATAGCGTGTTTTATGTTTGTCTATTTTTGATATTGACCTAGTTAAATTATTGTTTAATCCATTGACAATGACCTACAAGTGCGAAAATTGCAATATTGAATTTGCAGAGAACAACAAATATAATAGATTGAGATGCAGCGGTGATTGCCGACAATATTTCTGCATGAAATGTTCTGGTCTAGATAAAGTGACCACGAAAGTAATATTGAACCAAAAATTTCACCACCTGAGATTTTGTTGTACATTAGGTGATTCTCTATCCTTAAGATATTTAAACGACAAAATATCAAATTTGTCAAGAAACCAATTGCCCCTAGAGAATTTTGAGGCTCTAATTGATACAACCAAGAAAATAACCGACAATATGCCTGTTTTTATGGAGATCTACGATTTACTAACTAAAAATGATAGTAAGCTGGACTACCTTACAAAAAAAATTGACAACATCCATAAATCAAGTGATTTGCTTAATGCTGAAAAGGTTGTAAAATTTATAAGGCAAATTGAACAAGATATCTTCAATATATCGACGGTTTTTTTCGGCTGTACCGATGAGACTATCAAGGTTCAGGTGCATGACTCTAATTCAGCTGATATTAAAGTGGACTTGGAAAGGCTCTCATCAAATATTAACCAAATTTCAAATCAAATCTGTAAACTTCACAATAAAATACCCACTCTACCAGAAAAGACAGAGGTATCTATGAAAAATTCTGTTTGTGTCACCTCAGCCACTCAAACTGATGATACTCAAGAGACCGGAGTAGTTCCTCAACAAAGTTCAAACACTGCAGAAGAGAAGTGGCAATATGTAGTTATTAGCAACCTATCCCCAGAATATACTCCTATTCAAGTGGTCCACTTTATTAAAGAGAAGTTAGGGTTAAAGGAGTTTATTAGATGTTATGCCCTGCTGAAAAGACAAGGTCCTTCTAATGGTTCGTCATTCAAAATAGGTATGAAGTCTAAATCCTCCATTAAGTTACTATTTAATAAGGAAATTTGGCCACCTAACGTTCACATTAAATGGTCTATTGAATCTCCAACTTCTGAACCACAGTATTTAGAGTCATCACCAGAATTAAACAACAAATCCATGGAGAATACTAGAAGCCCCGTTAGCCAAGAAAATTCATTAACCATTTTGAATGATAACAAAAATACAGGGGAAAAGATAAATGTAGTCTCAGATAAACATGCAATTGAAATTTGCAAATCAAAACCGCATCCTTATTCTCACATTAATTTTGTTAAAGAAAATATTGCAACGCCTACTGTAAATCTGGACCCTATGACCCCACCGAAGGTTAGATTAACCATGAACACGGACCCTTCCAACAATCGATATCTTCTAGCAAGATTAAGAGAACCAGAGATATTAAAAGCCATCAAACTGCATCTTGCCTTTCTGTACGACCAACCTGCTTCGGTTTGTTATGGTGGTTTTACGAAAACAAGCATCAAACTATTCTTGGCTTCTGAGGGACTTTCCATGACTACAGAAGATCTGCGAAAAATTTATTTGAAATTTCATGATGCCTATGGAATTGGTCCAGCTGAGGTAGACGAAGATCTAGCTGCGTTTAGGTCCTTTATCGCTGCTGAAAGAATTATCCATCTGCAAAGATCAAGGGAATGTCATCAAAATTACTTTTCCACCGCTTCTCCAAGACGAAATTTTTAAATGTTTCGACGTGTTCTGAGGGTCTAGAATCCTCAAATTTAACTGCTAGCAACTTTGGCATGGTTCCTATTAATATTCGATCGATTAGAAATAAGACAGACGAATTATTTTTGTTTCTGGAAGAATTAGGGTTTTCCCAGTTAGTTGCAGTGACGGAACACTGGCTTGAAGTTAATGAGCCAATTTTCATTCAAGAATATACCACAATTGCTAGGTATGATCGTCCAAGTTCAGCTCATGGTGGCACTCTGATTCTTTCAAATAACAATGATTTTTCTTCAGTTTCGAAATATGACTATTTGCTGGGTGAAAACTACTTCGAATTTTCTTTGATTTATAATAAGAAATTTAATCTATACATTATTTGCATTTATAGATCACCCAGCTCTGATACTGAACTATTTTTTCAGAGCCTGCTAAATTTGTTAGATATTCTGCCCATTAAAAGCAGAAAAATTGTATGTGGTGATTTTAATATTGACTACGCTGCTGTTTGTGCGACCCAACTGTCTTTGGTAACTATTTTTGAATCATATGGTCTCACAATGCACGTTAATTCTCCAACAAGAATCTCAAAAACATCATTCTCGACAATTGATTATGTGGTTTCCGATTTTCCACCCGCTGACGTCCATTCTACAGTTATTAGTGGGGGGCTTTTTGATCATGAAGCGGTATATACCAAGTTTAGCAGTTTACAAACACCTCACTCAAAAACCCGACGATTAGGTAGGATTTTTTCCACTCAAAACTTTCG